CTTGCTTCCCCGGGGAATTGGTGGGCACCGTGGCACGAAAAGGAATGGATTTCCTCCAGAATGTTCTACCGCGATCTGCATTAAAAAGTTACTTTGCTGTGTTTAACTGGTGCTTTGTTACGTTACAGAAACCTTGTCTTCTGATGTGGAGGTTTTGCTGCAGATAGATGGTGTCACTGAAGATAAACTGGAAAAATACGGCGCAGAAATAATTAAAGTGATGGATAAGTACTCTGAATGGACCGTACCAGGTTGGGTATTTTTTGCACTAAATGTGTGTGCTCCTATATATTCCTTTTCCCTCCTTCTCTGTATAAAAGTTCCCCTGAAAAGTCACCTGGTTTTAAACACAATCACTGTTTCTTCGAGTTCAATGAAAAGGGAGCAATTTCACATTCTCAGAACATACAAAGATCTTCTCACTGGTTAAATTCAGCATAGTTCTGAAAGTCTTTCCTTTTTCAGTCTAAGCATACTGCTGCACTACTTCCCTGTTAGTTATTGGGGTTTATGTAATGTACTTAGACAGAGACTTCAGGGCATTCAGGTTAAAAATCTCGCCCCCCTCCCCCCGCATATTTTTCCATCTGAATCTACAATGTACTGGGTAGTGCTGTAGCCTGGCAGACCATCAGTAACAACTGCCTTTTAGTTTTCACTGTAACTGAGATCAGCAAGTCCAAGTCTGCACTTGCTAGCTCCTTCTGAAATGTGAAGAACTGTCAAAACTAGATGGAGGGGGTAAAAAAAAAATAAAAAATAAAATAAAGCTAGCAAGTCAGTATGCCAGTATTTTACAGACCCTTTTACAGCTCTTAACCTTATGCACAGAGTTCAGCTCAGTGGAGAATTAAGCCATGAGACTGGTAAATGTGGCAGTGTCATGTGAGCATAGCGTAGCCTCTGTTGTAATTAGAATATTTTATATATCTTGGCCATCAGTTTAAAAGTGATCCTTAATTATGTTTAAGGAGGCTGTGTTTTCATATGCTGCAATGTGAATAAATTCATGTCTACAAACCTCACTTAAGTGTTTCATTTGACTGCCTGTGCAAAGAATCATGTCCTTCTTGCTTACAACTGATTGAGGAGGAACTCTCAGCTGTCTGAGCCTTTCAGCGTCTCCTGGTGCTGTTTTAAAAACAAGTGCTGTATTTGAGTGTATTATTTATGGTATATTCCCTGTCAGCTGGAAAGAATTATGGAAGAGAGTGTAAAGGCAGAAAGCTCAGTGCTACCAAAATAGTTTAGAAAAAAAGCCAAGCTAGTGAAAATAGGGCTAGTCTTCTAGTCTTCTTTTTTTTTTAATCATGATGAGGTAAACCAAAACTTCCTTCTGTCTGTCTTTGCTTTACAACAACCTAAGAAATGCCTCTAGCTGAGCCTGGAGCATCACCAGGAGGACTGTGGTGCAAAGAGTATTTGAATGGCAAGGACAGAAGTTTGGCGCAAATAGCGTGCTCTAGCTGACAGTTCTGGCTGCCCCAGGCAATGTTTTGATTTCATTAGTTTTAATTCATTGTCTGTCTGCAGAAGATGCTGCCTGCCAAAGTGTGGACACAGCTGGAGGGAGTACTGGCACACCTGAGAGTGAGGAAGAAGCAGGAGATGTAGTTACAACCTCAAGCTATTTTTGCAATAATGCAAACCAAAGAAGGAAAAGGAAAAGGCCGCCAAACTTCAGAGAATCCAAGAAGAAAAAGACAAGCAGTGCTGGTAGCCAGCAGTTTCGTCCCAAAGGGTATGTTGCTTGTGATCAGTTTAACTTTTTTTTTTTTCCTGAAATGATGATGATCCCAGAACTGCACTGTTGTCTTAGTGCATTTTCTTAAGTAATTGTATGGGGTTATGTATGTTAGTCAATCAAATACTGGACTTTAAAAATTAATTCAATATCAGTTTCAGGCTTCTCAGCAGGGGGTGTACCACTACACTGCTTCCGCTACTGCCAACGTGCTCTTGCTTACCTTTGCCATTTCTGTGGTGGGGTATTGGTATTCCTCAAACTAACGTGCTAAGCTTATAGCAGGAGCAGAATTTGCTGCAAAAATAAGCCATAATTTTAGGACGCCCCTTTCCACTGTGAAATCTCAGTATGCAGGGTGAAGTAGAGGTACGTTCTCAATGTACCTTCATACTAACATTCACCTGTGATTAGACTATGTGACCGCACTGGAATCAAACTTCAGCTTTACTTTTTTCTTAATTGGCTTGACCATTTTCTCCATGCAGTACAAGCTCTGAAAGCGTGGAGCTTGCTTGCTTTATCCTGCTGGGCTGGTTGTGAAGTGCAAATATAGCCTTGCTTCTGTTATTCTTAAATCTATGCAAATTCACAGTGGTAACATAGTTTATGGTATCATGCACAAAAGGAAGCATACTTGGCAACTTAACGGAGTCTATATGAATAACACCTGTTTAAAACTTTATATTACGCTTCTGTTACAAAGAAGTGTTTTAAGGTATTTCATAGCTTGTCAGCAAAGAATTTATGTTGCTTGCTTTCCAGAATAAGCTAAAATATAATGGTAGTTCTTTCAAAACTCCTAGAGCAGTGTCAGTGGTAAAATGAACATGTTAAGTGTTGGAAATTTGGCATGCAGTCCTTTGTTAATTCAGAACTTAACACTCTTGTTGTACCATACAAGGCAGTGCCTGCACCACAGCCACGATGTTTGAGTCCAGTATCCTGGTTGGTCTTGAGCTTCTAAGGCAGCTCAGCTTTTCCTTGCTTTTTTCTGTCTTGATTTTTTTTTTTTCAGGAAATAGCAGTTCCAGCTCAGTATGTTTTATTCCTTTGCTTTCCATCTTCCCATCTACCTAAAATATTAGTAATTAAATGCTGACCCTGAAGTGTCATTTAATGTTGATACTCTAATTAGATTAATAGGAGTTAGGTCGGTTTAGCATTCTGTGTTCATATTTCAGGCTGCTTCTTGCCCTTAGGCAGATGTCAGAGCAACAGCTACACTAAATTTACATTTCAAAGGTATTCTTGCAGCCATGTGTATTTAAAAAAAGGTTCAAAAAAATTTAGTTGTCTAGAACATCTTACATGGTGTGCAACTGTATAAATATGCCATGGGTAGGGAATGTGGCAAGTAAACCAAATGTTTGACACACAATGCTGTAATTTCTCTCTAAATCTTGCAGTGGTTACAGCAAGTACCGAAGGACCAAAAAGCCATCCAACTCTAAGACTCCACCTTCATCTGGCTACAGCTCAGCGTCGTACAGCGTTAGTGCCACACAGGGAACTGTTGGAAAGCTGGGGATTATGGCACCACCGAAGCCGAAAAACAGGCAATTCCTTCAGCCTTCATATTCACTATTGTAACTAGGAAAGTGTAAATACTGTATAAAAGCATGCCATGAAGCTGTAATCATTGTTTATAAATCTTTATTTGATTTGCTCAACTTTCTTAAATTTGTACACTTGTGAAGTCCAAAAGTTCATGTTAAATAAATATTTTTAAACTCATAAATTTTTCAGACCTTTTTTCTACTACAAATATGAGTTCTGACTTGTTCTAGATGCCCTACTGTTTCAGGGAAAATAATCCCTGTAAGCCTGCATTAAAGCTACCTCCAGGATACACTTGAGATCATGAATCAAAAGCAGTTACTGGAACTGTGAATCCCAGAGATGTGGTTGCCTCTGTTCTTCTCCCTTGCTAGACGTCTAAGTAATTTAGAGCTACATAGCAGAGGAGTTCTGAGAATTTAAGTCTTGGGATGTTAACCTGACGTATAAAATATGATTAACAGTTGTAAGCTTCCTTTTTTTTTTCCCCAGATACTGGGGCTGGAGTGTCTGCTGAAGTGCCAAGTGCTGTCCTAGGAGTGCTCTTTTAGATATTCCTGTTTGTTTTTACACTGTGGAGCTGTGTTATCATCACAGCTGTGATAAGGGCATTTGATGTGCCCTTCTTTCACCTTCCAGCCTTGCACAAGGCAGCCGTGCTAAGTTCAGGTGGGATTTAGATATGTGTTCCTACATGTGCAGTTTCAATGAAATGCCTGACACAGCAGGGGCAGAACCAGCCCCACTGTTGGTTTGCTTGACTGGAGCAGAGGATTCCTTCAGCTGTTGCTGAGCAAGGAGTCTGACTAGCAAGTACTTTATATAACCCTGTCCTGTGAGTGAAGTGTGCTCAAGGCTGTTTCAATCAACCTCACTATTTAAAAAAAAAAAAGTACACTTTTTCTATCCTGAACATGCCAAGCTGCAGCATAAAGCTGTAGAGTACAATTAATCACTTCTCTTGGCTGTCTAGCAAAGATTTTGATCTCGTGCCTGTGTGGATTCTGAATCACTGAATAGCTCAGGTTACAGAATTACAGAATTTCTAGGTTGGAAGAGACCTCAAGATCATCGAGTCCAACCTCTGACCTAACACTAACAGTCCCCACTAAACCATATCCCTAAGCTCTACATCTAAACGTCTTTTGAAGACTTCCAGGGACGGTGACTCCACCACCTCCCTGGGCAGCCTGTTCCAGTGCCTAACAACCCTTTTGGTAAAGAAGTTCTTCCTAACATCCAGCCTAAAACTCCCCTGGCACAACTTTAGCCCATTCCCCCTCGTCCTGTCACCTTAAACACCATCTCATTCCTGTGTGACAGGGCCACCACCGAATACATCAGGTTACCCATTCCACTTGGCCTTGAACCCTTCTAGAGATGGGGCATCCACAACCTCTCAGGGCAACCTGAGGGAAATTCTTCACCACCCCATGAGCGAAGCATTTCCTCCAAACCCCTCACCTAAATCTCTCTTCTTTAACCCACCCCCTTGCCCTATCATTACATGACTAAAAAGTCGCTCTCCGTTTTTATTTTTTTTATTTCTAAAGCCACTTTTAGGTACTGTAAGACTTCCACAAACTCCCCTTGGGCTCTTCTCTTCCTCAGACCCCCGAAAACTCCTTCAAGTCACCGGGGCCGCCCCTCACGGAGCGGGGGGCGGGAGGCGGGAAGCGGCGGCCTCCGCCGCCGCTTCCCGCCTCCCGCCCCCCGCTCCGTGAGGGGCGGCCCCCGCCTCAGCCCGGCCCCGCCATGGCGCTGTCGGAGCCCAGCGAGGCCGTTCCCGAGGAGCTGTCGCCTCTCAGCCAGCAGCGGGAGCAGGTCCGTGGCCGTGGGGGTGCCGTTAGGGGTGGTGGTGGTGGTGGTGGTGATGGAGGATGGGCCCCCGCTCACCGCTCCCCGTTCATCCCCTCAGGAGCGCACCCCGAGCGGCGGCGCGGAGCTGAGGCGAGGCCCGGAGCAGGGCGGGCGCCGAGCGGAGCCGGGCCGGCAGCTGAGGGTGCTGCTGACGCCGCTCTCCGTGGCGGGCCGCAGGATGCCTCAGAAGCGGCTGCTGGGCGCCTACGACGACGCTGAGGGGGAGGCGGCGGGCAAGAGGCTCCGCGCCGAGCCCCCCGGGACGCCCCCCGGCAGCCCGCCCGGCCCGGCCCCCACCGCCGCCGCCTCCCCTCATGGCAGCGGCTCGGACGGCGGCTGGGACGCGGAGAGCGACAGCAGCGACGGCGGGGGAGAGGCGCAGGTGAGTGGAGGGGGGCTGGGAAGGCGAGGCTGGGGGCGTTTTGGCCTCCTTGGGCCTCGGCAGAGCGCGTTTTACCCCTTGGGAACGGCTGAGGGGCCGCAGAGCTGCACGAGCCGCTGCCAAAACCACCAGCGCCTTCCCGAGGGTCATAACCAGCTCCTGGGGAACGCGGTGGCTGGGTACAGAGATGAGATACGACGGTTTTGTCAGTGCTCATTCGTGTTAAAATCACCATTTCAACTTGTCCTGGCCGCCTTTTTCTCTCAAAGATGGAAACGAACAAAGCTGTGTTCTGTTTAGGTGCCACATTTGCCGTATTGCCAAGCTGTAAGTTGCTATTTGTTTTGCACCAGCTTTGGTTCAGTTGTAGCAAGGTTCTGATGAGCTGGCCCCTCTCGCAGGACTGATGCTAGCAGTCGGTGCTGTAATGTGTGCTACTACCTCTATAGACCAGCACTGATAGGGGATCACCCCGGTGGTTCGTGGGCCTTTTATTTGTTTAAACGTGCATCAAACCAGCTCTGGACAATCCAGACAATCACTAGAGACTCAGAGCCCAGAAGCCTGGGCCAGCTCTGGCGTGCCGTGTAACTGTGCTGAGGTCTGTCTCACTTTTCTTTTTGTAGGATGGATACCAACAGCTATCAGCTTATGAAAGGAAAAGACTAAAGAACATTACAGAAAATGCAAAATTCTTCGCTGCCTTAAAGCTGCACGAGGTTAGTATAGATCCTACCCAGTGTCAGCCACCGTGCTCCCTCCCGTAAGGGCACTTGTGCCCCAGGAAGCAGCCTGCTGCCCCGCGTTGGGAAACCCTGCCCTGATAGTGACAGGGGCATCAGGAGAGGGCATCAGCACTGCCCTGACTGGATTAAACATTAGCACTCATGTTGTTAGTTAGCTCCCTCCAAGGAGGGGAGGCCGTTAGGTGACCCCACGGAAAGCTGGGTGAGCAAAATCCCAGCAGGGCCAGCTGAGCACTGGCCCAGGGGCAGCCGAGCACACAGCTGTGGCTGGGCCTGTCTGGGAGGCAGCGAGGCTCCTTCCTTACCACCAAGACTGCAGCTTGAGTAAAAATGACTCTTCCCAGTTACCCTCAGAGAGGTCAGCAAAGGCACGTCTGCCTGCAGCCACAGCGCTGCCGGCAGGGCAAAGGCCAGAGCCATCAGCTAGGGTGAAACAGGGGAATTCTTGAGGGTACGTAGAAGACCAGTGCAAAGCAGAAAAAACACAATCTGATATTTAAAAGTTCCTTTTTGTTGTTGTTATAAGCAATTACAATATAGTTTACTGCAGCCTTTATACAGGTTGGCCTTTTATGCTTGTTAGATATATTTTTAATCTTTTATTTTTTCTTTTTAAGTCAGCTGCAAGACTTCAAAAAATTGCAACTAGACGACAATCTAATGTCACTAAAAGGTAAAACAACCGTGTATGAGACTCATACCAATGTTCCTTCATTGAGTTTTAACTGTTTTAGTGCTACCACCTGCACATAGCAGATACCAGCAAGAGGGAGAGCTAATGATGAGTCACTCTCCAAAGCTGAATCTGCATAACTGATTATCCTGAGCTGTATGAATTTGTAAATAGGTAGCTCCAAGGTAGTGGCTCTCCTCTGCCATCCTATGGAAAGAAAATGCTAGTATGAATGCCCTTTTCATCAAATTACAGAACGTGCTATTTTTGTGATATTTGTATTAAGGTAATTTTTTTTTTTCTACTTGTGATTTTTCTGCATGATGGCTAAAGAAAGAAATGTTAAATGATGAGAACAAATAATAGGAAAGGGCATGGGAAAGAAAGGGTTTGGGGGGAGAAACAGATGGAAGGGATAGGCTAAGCAATTGTTAAAGAAAAGACATTTGGCAGTGCCAAAGCAATGTTAGGCAAAGCCGAAAAATGAGCTGAAATACAAAATAGAGAGTAAGATAAGCAAGGAAAGGAGAGAAAAAGGTGGCTAGATAATGAGTGGAAGGATGAATTATAAATGAGGATGGGGAAGAAAAGCAGCAGTGGCAGGATGTATTACAAGGGAAACATGTCATCAGTATATATGCATTGCTAACTGCTCTTGTTGTTGTTGCAATCGCTGAAAGAGAAAGTAATCGCAGTGCTCCTAAAGTCGATCAGAGCATTGAGGTGTCAGAGCTGCAGATAAGAACCTATTCCGTAGTGTTTTACTTAAATGCTGAGGGCTCACGTTATCTAACTGTGTAATTTTTGAAATGTTTTACTTGTTGTAGACCTAAGCCTAAGAAGGCAGAAGAGGAAACAGTACGACGAAGGTCTATGCGCCTGCAAAGAGTAGAGCCCTCAGTGCTGGAGGTGCCTACCCAGCCAGAGGCAGAGGAGGAATATGTAAGATGGGGATGGGTTACAGAAGCCTGTGCATATGCTTAGAAGTGTTAGAAAAACAGTGCTAGTGAAGTTAATTCATAACGCTTGCCTTTGCTAAGCTTATTGCAAAAACCTTCAGACATTCGGGAAGGTGCGTTAGTGTCAATGACGAGGTAAATCCTCGAGGTAAAATCTTTTTTTAATGTTTGTTTCTTGTGTTAGAGTGGATGTGTTCTCAGAATATCTGGTGTGCAGAAAATAAAAAATCACTTTATTCATAGTTTTAGTTGATCTGAGTTACGAAAATTGCTAATGTCATTCCACAGCCTCAGGTTCCAGCCGGACCTCTGCCAATGGTTCCAGAAAATCAGGTGGAGAACAGCAAATTGACAGAGGAATTACTGGCTACATGGATGAAAATAAGCGAGGTATTACTAGCTATAATTAATGATATTTAGATTACATAAATTAACTTGAGTTTGAAGTAGTCTAATTCTGATATTATAATTTCTTTTCCTTTCAATTTGCAGACGAAACCCAATGATACAGAAAAGCACATGTGTGACATGAAGAGGTAATCTGAAGGGAGCAGCTAAAAACTAGATCATGTCTAGTTTGTTCTTCTCTTTCATAACTCATATTGTAATGATATTCTCTAGATATCAAAACAGCCTAAACAGTATGGTCCTCAGCGAAGATAATGTCAGGAAGGTTGTGCAAAACCGAGTATGTTCTGTGGCCATCCATCCTTCTGAAAGCCTCATCTTTGTGGCAGCTGGGGACAAGTACGGGCAAATCGGCCTCTGGAACGTCGTAAGTCCTCTGCGTGCTCCTCGCCTGGCAGAAGTGTTTGTGGCAGGATGGGGGCGGGTGGGGCACAGGCTGGAGTGTCCTTTTCTTGGCTTGCAAAGGTGTTTTGTACTCATTTTTTGCAGATAACACCAGGGTGTCTGTTAATTTCAGGCTCACTAGAGTTGCTCAAAAGGTCTGGTCCTTCGCAAGCCCTGGTTTAATGGGAAGAAACTGGTAATTTTAGGGAGGAGAGAGAGGAAGAAAATGGATCACCAGCTGAAACCCAGTGAGGGTTAAAATTACAATTTACAGTTGAAAGATTTGGGATCTAGTTACAGTACTCTGTTAGCAATACCATAAATAGGTTTTGGAGAGCGAGGGTAGATGGATGTTCAAGTATTTGGGTTTTTATATAAATTTTGGGTAGATGCAGAGAGTTGCTGTGTTTCCAGTTAGCAGAAACAAAAGTACCAGTATATGCTGACACATATTTATGTACATTGCCTGTGAAAAATAGCTTAGCATTTGGGAATTTGAAAACTGCTGAGGGCTTTGCAGATAGCCTCATTATGGATTTTGAATTGCCTTAATTACTCCTGCAGCAAGAATCTTTGTGCCTGTGACTTACACCTTTCTAGCCTCCCTCCCACCCTCTTCTCTGATCCCACATCATCTAAACCAGCTGCTTGACGTTTGCACACATACAGATTTTCTTTGCGTTGTTTGCAATGCTATTAACCTTTTCTGTGGAGTTTCTCTTGAGTCATTTCAACTTTGACAGCTTCAGGAAATTGATTGACTAGCTTCAGCTTTGAGACTCGACTCAATTGTAAAGACGTTTAAAGTGCAGCATAGAAAGCTGAGACTGCAGAGCTGCTGCTGCTTCCTATTGAGAAGCATGATCTGGTTGAGTTTTCTGAATGCCACAGGCGTTCTTCGTGGCCTTGCAAAGACATTTCATGTGGAAGCCTAGAAATGTTAAAATTACTGTCTTACTGTCTTCCCTCTTGATTTCCCTTTTTTTTTTTTCCCTTCATGAAGGGAGTTGGACTTTACCAAGCTGGGAGTAGTCTTTGTGGAATGACTTGTTCCAAAATGAGCGCTTGGTTTCTTTTAAATTATCAGAGCTGGAAGGATACCAAGGTTTGAAGAGAAGATACAGGAGATGATGCTTTACATTCAATTTGGCTGAATGTAATTTAGCCTGAGCTGTAAGCAACCCAGTGTGTCTGTGTTCTGCTGTTAAAAGCATATGCATGTATCAGCATACTCAGCAAGGGGTTCAGTGGTAACTTGGTGCTCTTTTGAGTTAAATCACTTGTATAGTGGTGAAAATGGTACTGGAGGGAGGCCCAAGCTTGTCAGCAGTGTGCTGAAAGTGCACGTGAAGACAGTTCCTTATTCCTTGCTAAGCTGAAACTCCCTCGGTCCCAGTGAGACATTAGCCTGGGCAAGCTGTGCCCCAGAGCAGCCTGGCTGCCTTGCTGCCTGCACTGTGCCTCCCCTCAGCAAGCTCCTGCTGCCTCCTCCATGTAGCTATTCAGGGAAGACAGCGTTTGAAAAAGAGACTTGACTCTGAAAGTTGTGGCAATTAACAGAAAGAATGAATGGATGGAAATAATCATCTGTATGTGTCCATCGACTCGCTTGTGTTTTTCAGGACTGTAAGGGTGAAGAAGGAGCACATGTCTTCACTCCTCACAACTACTCAGTCAACTGCATGCACTTTTCTCCATCCAACCCTGCTCATTTGCTGTCCCTAAGCCACGATGTTCTACGATGCGGTGACGTTACTAGGGCAATCTTTGATGAGGTGAGCACTCCCTCACTTGTCTCTGACTCATTTCCCAAATTACAGGAAGCCTAATTCACATGTCCGCACATGATGAAAAGGTTTCTGCAGCACTGGAGAAAGGAGCGTGCTCATTAGTCCTCGCTCAAGATAACGGTTGTTGGATTACGGGAACACAGAGGCGATAGGGTCTTGTAAGAGTTTTAACAGAGAATTCACAACATGCTCTTGTCAGACGGGTTTGGATGGCTAATTACATACGCTGTAATAAGGATACTAGGTTAACAGAAAGGTTGCCTAAGTGGATAGCGAAGGTTGGAGTCATCAAATGAGGTAGTTGTCTTCAGTATTTTTAGTATATTTAAAAGGCAAAAATGCCCACAGTGTTTTGGGTATTGTGAATGTGTATTTACTTGAATAATTTCAGTTTCATTTGACCTTTTCTATCTGCAGATATGCAGAAGTGAAGAAGACTTATCCTCCTTTGATTTTTTGGAAGATAACGCCTCCACTGCAATAGTAGGATACTGGAATGGCAGTGTCGCTGTCGTGGACAGACGGACCCCAGGAACATCTTTAGAGCTTTCTGCTAACATTGGCTTCAAAATAACGAGGACAGTCCATGTTCACCCAGTGAATAAACAGTATTTCGTTGCTGCTGGCTCAGTGTATGTAGCTCAAAGTGAACTGCAGTTATTGTGTATATGAAATGTTCCGTTTGCATCGGTGTTTGACATCAGCTGTAAGTGGCAGGTTTGGAGAGCAGGACCAGCTGCCGGGGAGGGAGGCAGGTTCTTAGTCTCAGTGCATAGTCTGGTTTTTTATGTTTGTTTGTTTTCTGAGAGATCCCGGTGGAGAGGTGTTTAACTGTGCTGTTTGTTTGGAGTGGTTTTGGTGCTCACAAAGTCCCGCTAGAGCCACTCGCTGTTGTGGTTGTTGATAGGCACTGCTGAAGTAAAGTTTTAAACACGGTTCATGTGAAATGTGTGGCAGTCTTTTGAGCCTTTTTTGGTAAATGGAAAATAAAAGCTCTGTTTATTTACCTGCCACCTGGTGTGTTACAGGGATGTTCGTATTTATGATGTTCGGTACCTGAAGTCTGATGGGAACAAGCCTGTGAGCACTCTTAATGGACACACAAAAAGTGTTGCTTCTGCGTACTTCTCACCTGTAACTGGCAACAGAGTCGTGACAGTGTGTGCTGATGATAAACTGAGGTAAGGCTGTGTGGGAAAGAGTGAACTATATGGAAAATACCAACTGATAGAGTTTGTTGTTTCCTGCCTTCATTAACTGTCATTGAGAGCATCCTGCATTGATTTGGTTTTCTTGTGTAGGCATTTTTAATGCTGCACAATTTTTAATTTTTGTTAATTTTTTATTTTCCTGAAGAATATTTAACAATGAATAGGAAAATCTACAGGTGCTGCAAGTCTTCACTCAGCAGTTTGTTGAACTTGCACCTGGGTGCTGGGGATCCTAAAGATTTACAGGGGGTAAATTCAATTCTAGCTAAAAGCAAATCTATTTTAAAAGTATTTGAAAATCGCAGCGGGGATGTGGGTGCTCGTACCCCAGCTGGGCAGCCGTGTTCTTTGCTGCCGTATTCCAGTCTTGTCGGGTCTTGTCTTGATGTGTGCAAAGTGCTTTATGAGGAAGGGGCTGCCTTTTTTAACACGTACCTCTTATTAACGCAATATTTCATTTTAAAGGGTCTACGACACCAGCTCTCTATCATCTACCATTGCAGTTCTCAGCACTGTCCGGTAAGCTGAATGCATGGGGCTGAAGAGTTGGCCCTCAGCAGCAGCTGTGGGAGTGACAGCGAGAGGCTGCAGCACGCTGCACTTAGCAGGGGCACAGCCGCGGAGCTCTCCTGGCCTGAGAACTTGCCCTGGTCCTCGAGGCTGCCTGCGGTGGCTTTGTTTGTAAGGCACGGCTGGGACTCAGCCTGCTCTGAGTCGGTGAAGGCTGCAGGAAAGCTGTAATGTCTCCTGTGTACCGGGAGCAGACCTTTTTGTGCCTTCCGAAACATTTTGTTTCAGAATGCTTTTGCATTATGCATTTTTTGTTGTTGCTTTATTTGTTGTTTTGGGTTTTAATATCAAAGGTTACTTCTTAACTGGTGAGGAACATGTTCCTGCGTAGTCTCAACACTTGCAGAATAGGTTTGTTCTCCAGAAGGGAGAATTGTCAGGCTTGCCTCACTAGGGCACTGGTCAGCGACTGGCCTGAAAACTTTTAATTTGCAGTTTATCGACACGGTTGCTGCATTGTTACCCAATTTTCCCTACAATGTGCAGCAGTAAGTCTAACTACTCTGACAAATAATCATTCATGTCAAAGTATCCTTTGGTTTCTCTTTCTCCCTTATGTTTCTTTGTCACATCCCACCCGTCACAGGACAGTGATCCCCTGAATAGATCCATGCAGTGTTTGAAAGTGGTGCTGGTCTAGGAGGCAGGGGAGATGGGTGGGAGCAATTATGATGTAAATGATGAATTCAGTAAGAATATTTCTCTCTCTTCCTATTTGTTTCTCTGAAGGCATAACAATAACACAGGACGCTGGTTAACTAGGTTCAGAGCGATTTGGGACCCTAAGCAAGAAGACTGCTTTGTGGTGGGCAGTATGGCGCGGCCGAGACAGATCGAAGTCTACCAAGATACTGGAAAATTGTTGCACTCTTTTTATAACATTGATTGCTTGGGCTCGGTGTGCTCCATTAATGTTGTTCATCCCAGTAAGAACATCTTAGTGGGTGGCAACTCCAGTGGTCGCCTTCATGTGTTCAAAGAACAATAATTAAATGCTTTTTTTTTTTTTTTTTTGCATGATACGTTTAATTTTTATTAAGCAATTCTTAAGCTAATTGCATTCTCTCAGGACAAAAGTGTATTTTTAAAAGCTCTAAAATAAATTTTCTAAACTACCTTTGGCATTCTCTTCTTTAATTAAAAACAAAAACTAATCCTACTATGGCAGGCAATTACAGTGGTTTGTACCAAAATGTGTTTTTCCTCAATACTTAGGTCATATTTCAAAAAAAGGAAAAAACACTGGCTAAATGTACGAGACACTGCTTAATGATTTTCGTTAAAGAACCTGCAGCGTTTCTTCTCTAACAGCTCGTGTGCCGTTCCCACCACAAGGCTGGCACACCTGCAGCGAAACGCGCCCGTAAGGAAGCTGCCTGGTGCCTCACGGGGTCCCTGCTGCAGGGCGCAGAGGGAAGGTCCCTCAGCTGCCACCACGGTGACCTGACGCAGAAGCCCCTCGGCGATGAGCCCTGAGGTGGGTACAGAAGCAGAGCTGTGCTCCTGGGCTCTGGGTTGCAAGGTGCTGGCTCTGAGCTCCCCGTCCTACACCGGGAAGTGCTTTCACCTTCACCGAGCTGCCCGTGGCACAGTGCCCTGTGTGGCCGACACCGAACACAAAGGCCGGTGAGAGGCTGTTGGGTTCGTACGCCCGTGCTGGGTGCCAGCCCTGCACTGATGCAGCTCCGGAGGGTGGAATCTGCCAGCCCCAGGCGCGGTTCTGCAGCGTGGGCAGCACCACTCTGCTTTGCTCTTGGTCTGCAGGCCCCAGCTCAGCCACAGCCCCTCTGGGTGCAGGCATCACCTCGTAGCGCAGGCTTTTGGCTCTCCCTGGGTCGCCCTGAGCCCCAGTGGCCCGCCTGGGTTTCTCGGGGTGGCCAGATTTTGCCCACACCCTGCGCTCGGGTATGGTTTGTACTCGAGCAATGAACACTGACACCACAAGCACTAAACAACTCTCATACCAACTCTGGGTTTTCATGATATTTAAATATTTATTTAAATTTAAAAATACTTTTCATGGCACCAATGATTTTATGCTAACTAAGATATTGAGTATGTAGAAAAAGGTACATTTTGAAGGAAAATGTAACTTACAGTATTTGGCACATGAAAGGTTAATTTCTAGATTTTTCTTTTTATGAAAACTAAGAAATTCACATTTTCAGGTATTTTACCGTCTACTGCTTAAAGATGCAGTATGCTATTACGAGATATTTTTTTTCTGATATAAGAATCTATGGAAACAACATTTTAATATAAAGACAGGTAAAACTAACAGGTAGTGAAACACAAGACATAATATGGAACATACAGGAAAAACATACAATGAAAAATTACCAGTTCTCGTGGTTTTTGCAGTAAAATGCTGGGTGAAAACTGCAGAGGTAACCTAGGTCTGGCATTTATAGCTATCCTAAAGTAAGCTGATGGAAAAGGTTTTCAAGGTCAATACTCGGACGCGTCGCGTTTCTGTCGAAGGAAGGTGCCTAACGCACAAAGTATCGAGAGCGCGGCGGCCGCCGGGGCAGGCGGCTCCGCTGAGGTGACAGCACGCGGGTAGGGCAGCAGCTGAAAGAAGGGAATACTGCATCTTTAACCTGGGGTGAGAAATGTCGAGTTTGAGACTATCACGCACTGCATAGAAACACCATTAACTACAGACTGAGGTAGGAACACTACACTAAGAGTTAATTTCGCTATGTTGCATAAAACAGGATATCATGTAAAAACCGATCCTCCGTCCCCTGCAGCGCTCGGGACTTCTCCTGTCTGCTCAGAGCCACAGCGGGACCCCAGCCCCCTCGGCTGCCGTGCCGTGAGCGGGCAGTGCCGGGGTGAGCGGGGACCGCGCTGTGCCGGGTGCCGCTGCCCGGGGCCGGCCCCACCGGGGATGGTTGGCGGGCTGCTCGGGCAGGGACGCGGGAATCAGGGCTGCTTAAAACTGCAGTTATGGCCCCAGCTTACGTAAAATCTCTCCCTGAGATGAAAAAAAAACTCGCTCGTCTGGTCTCCCTGCCTTGAGTACGTCCAACTTCTCATCCAAAACTTAACAGAACTGGCTTTTATTGCTCCCTGTGTAAGAGACTGTTACGCTTCCCAGGTAACTGAAGGTCCCGGCGGCTGTGTCACAAGTACAATGAGCTATTTTTTGTTTATTTTTGCTTAAGAGTAATAGATAGGTCTGATGGTTGTCCATTGGCTTCTCCAGTGTTACCTCTGCTCCGGTAGTTCTGTCCTTTTTATCTTCAGAAAAGTCATAAAATTAGAGCTCCTCTCTGTATTCCAAAACTAGTAGCACGTTAAACTGACGTTAGGCTTCCAGTCTATAAAACATTTACACCGCTCGCTCGGCTCGAGCCCCTTGGTACAGCGCACCGCGTTCACCCGATCCGTAAAGTAAAAAAAGACTCGGTTAGGTTCAATAACAAAATAGCTTCTCGTTGTTAAAATATACGTCGAAACAGTCTCTTTGTTTGTACAAAAGGAGTACAGCTTCCCGAGGCTCGCTGGCTTCCTAACCATCCCCAGCCGTGCGCCAGGGGCTGGCCAGAGCGCTCGCCCACCAGCGCGGGGCCCGGAGCCGCGGCAGCGAAGCGCGGTGCCAGTGGGCACCCCGATGGGGACTGGCCACGGCACGGAGACAGTCCCAGGAGGCCTGCGTGTGGCGAGGACTCAGGGTTGCACAGCAGCACGTGGCCGCCTGCATCAGAAGGAGCTGGCGTGGGGTGAGGCCGGCCGGGGGTGCCCCCGCGGGAGGCTCCGGCTCGGCAGGAGCGCTCTCTGCAAAGCGGCGCTCGGCGGGCGGTGGCGTGGCGCACAGTGGCGGATTCGATAACGTAACGATACACGAGTGTTTAAATTAAAACTCAGTAGCACCATTGCTAAAGCTCCTGTGTGATAACAGCATCTCTGGCCTCTCGGCCGCTGGCTGATGCTCGTACAATGATCAGTGGTGATAGTAAAATAAATTCCTCTCTTTATTCGGTACCTCCGAAAGTAACACACGCGGCTGTGAAAATCAAAACTGAAACCTTAACTTATTCTGCGGGCTCCAGGGGTGGAAGCAGCGGCCGAGCAGGCTAGGGAAGGGCAAGTGTCTGGTCTGCGTCTACCCCTCTCTTCCTCCTGGAAAGAAACGTCCTAGGCAGCACTGTACTCGGGGTCATGGGAGAAGGAGTTATTGCAAGAGCCGAAGGTGCCACAAAGGTCCCGCTGGCTGGGGACAGCAGCAGGTCTCTCCCGAGTCCGCCTGGCTAGTTTTGTGGCGGCTCCTGCCTTCAGGTGTCAATGAGCAGGCTTACCACGGCGCGGACTTTGCAGGCAAACCATCGCCTGAGGGGACAAAAGTATTGGTAATGGAACTGCTCGAACTCGGGGGTCTGGCGGATATCGCGGAAAAAGGCAGTGTCAAGGTCGGACTCGGTAAGGACGATCAGGAGAAGGAGCAAAACAAAGAGGAGTCCAACTGTCACAAGGAGCAAACGGAGGACACTTAAAACAAACTTATTCACCTGTTCCGCCCGTGTCCCGCCGTGGCCGCCGGCGCCCAGGCACAGGGCACGGAGCTCGCCTGGCTCCTCGGCCTCGGCCGCGCTGGGCGTGCCGGCCTCCGACTCCTTCTCCTCCTCGATGCTGCACGGGGCCCCGTTCAGCTGCCGCGACAGCAGCATCAGCTCCAGGCTGTGCTCGGCCACCGGCGTGGGCAGCACGCTGTCGGCCGGGCTGTAGCTCTCGTCGGCGATGACGGCCACCCGCTCGCTGCTCTCGGCGCGGCCAGCCGCGGCCGGGGGGCACGAAGGCGTCGCCGTGGGAGGCCGAGCGCACCGGGGTGGAGTGGGCGCTGTCACGCAGCGACTCCAAGCCTGGGCGGGGAGGGAGGTGTTCAGTGGTGCAGGGGGGACGGGGCAGCCCCCCAACACCGCCCGCTCACCCCGCAATACCCCCGGCACTACCCGGTGTCCCCAGCGCAGGGTGGGCACAAAGCACTGGGGGACGTCTGGCGAGCAGCCCATGGCACCCTGCTCGGCGCTTGTGTGGTTTTACTTGTTTTTTGGGTGGTGCTGATGTGTTGTTTTTGTTTTGTTTGATTGTTTGGCTGGTGGTGGGTGTTTGTTTTTTTTTTTTGACACCTGCAGAGCAGTCCTGGGCCCTGCGCAGCGCCTTTTTTGTGCCGCTTGTGACTGCAGAGGCGGCTCCCCGGCGGGCGCGTGACTTGTCACCGCCGCGAGCTTTTCTCCTGGACCGCGGCCAGGCTGCTGGCAGGGGCCCGGCTTTGTCATCAATCATCACTGCTTCGCCCTGCTGCAACCGCCTGGAGGGTGACAGCTTCCCCTCGCTCACCGCTTGCTTAAAGGCGCCCCTGCCACCAGCTGGGCGCAGATAACCTTCAGCTGGGAGCGCAGCAGCGGCGCTGGAGGACAAACGCCTGCTGCCTCCAGCCCCACGTGCCCATCCCTACACAACCCCACCAACAGCTCCCGTCCTGGCAGCTCTCCCATGCGCCCGTCCTGCTGCGAGTGTCTCGCGGAGAAGCCCCTGGCTTGTGTGGAGCCTTCCCGCAGGGGGGAAGCGGTGGCTGCGTGGCTCGGGGCCATGGCAGGGTCTCCTTCATGCCAAGGTGGCTCTGAGCCGAGCCCAGCCCTGAGCCCAACACTGGGAGCAGCCGCACCAGGTCCTAGGGATGCACCACAAAAAATCTCTTACACACACACACCACACACACACACACAGAGCAGCAGAAATAGCCAGCACGGCAGCGTGCCCCACCACATGCTTGGCAGAGCTAGAGTTACAGCCCAGCCGGGGCTGCCCTTTACAGGGCTGAGCCCTGCACGCAGGGCAAGGGGGAGCTCCTTCTCCCAGCTAACAGAAAAAACAGAAATACAAAAAAAAACTGCAAAAGTGCCACTTGTTTCTTGCAGCTTTCACAGCGAGAGAGGCAGAGGCCCCCAGGGACGGCGGTGGGCAGGAGGTGCTGCCACTGCAGCGTCCCCTGCACGAGGTGGGGAGCTTGGTGTGGTGCTGGCCAGGCTCAGCGCAGCCCCATCGCTGCCCCGCAGCCCCTGAGGGTGCCCAGGGCTGTATCAGCCCCACATGGAGCCTGAGGGGACACG